GTAAAGTCTGGAAAGATAGCATCCCCTTTTTACATATGTGTAACATTTTTTTTATATTGGCGCTCAATTGTTTTAAAAGTAGGGGGTGCTATCTTTCCAGACTTTACGGTAATTCGCTGATCGATAACCCCGTAGTTCCGTAGTACAATATTCATCACGTTATTTACATTATTTATTTACCAAGAAAAAGATATCACTGGGTTAAGTGTTTTAAGGATGGTGGTGGTTATCGCCCGCCACCCGTCGTTACTCTAGTTTTAAAAAAAGAATGGTAGTGGTGGTTGCAATCACTGTCATTCATCATTCCAATTTTTATTTATTATTGTTCACCATTATTACCATTACCATCACAAGTAAGTAAATTATATTCTAAATGAGCAAGACCTTTTTTATGTAATTAACGAAACTGAATCAAAATTTTTTATAGTGCAACAATGCTCATTCTAAGTCATTATCGTCAGGTATATTCTTCTTTCTAAAATTTTTTTCAATATTATCAGCAATATAATTAAAATATTCTTTGTTTCTTTCAGCAGATATGACAGTAAAATGCATCGTTCATTATATTAAAACAAAGAAGACATTCCTTTTCAAGACTTCTTGGCCACTTTTGGAGTTGCAAAAAAAGATAAAAGAATGTTTTGATGACCTTCTTGAAGATATTGAACCAGAATATATTCAAATTGTACCCTAAGGATACCGGCTGCAACTTTTGATGATGGTTGCTACCATCTTTGCGTCATATAAAAACGATTGCAACCACTGGTTGCAACCACCTTCACAACCATTTTGTTTCCTTTTTTGGATTGCGGCATGGAACACTATTGTACCCAACGGTGCTGATTACAAAATTGATGATAATGAATTTTTATCTGAATTGTGGGATTTGGCTAAGAAAGATAATTCCAGGCATTCGTGTATAACCTTTGGTGTTGTGACAAGTAAATAATATTTCTTGACTTTATATAATAACTGAAATCAGATTCCTTACTTAATAGAGACTTTTCTTCTAGCTCAACAAGATTTTTCATCTTACAAGTCATTGAGTAAAGTTTTGCGAACATTTGGAATAAATGATATTTCATCATTAGTAGACATTCCTCAATTTACATTGGGCAAGTATGAATGTTATTATGAATTATTTGTTGATGCTTTACTAGTTTCCATTGGGAAATTTAAATTATTGTCTTAAAGAGAGAGCTGTAAATTATTTAATGTTTAATTAACATGACAATATTTATTTAAAGATGACATAGAAGTTAACATCGAAAACAAAACAATAAAAGCACTTTTTAAAGAAATAAAAGTATGTAACTACTGAAGAATACAAACTATATAAACTCAAAAAAAAAATAACTAAGTATATGTATATTCCATATAGATACGATTAAAAGCTTGTGGTCCTGTTATAGGTGGTCACGCAAATGAGGCTTTAAGATCTGAATTTATTTCACCATTTATGAATCATGCTGTGGCAGAGTCTAAAGAAGGTATCAAATTAAGACCACAAAAGAGAATTTCTGGCACCTATGGTAAAGGATTCGTTGACTATGCAATATGCTATAAATCATCTGTTATATGCATTACGGAGGCTAAAACCAATGAACTCGAGATTGGTCTCACCCAAAACCTAAAACAACTACAAGCAGCTGCTCAGGTAAATGTGTTCATGCATAACAAAATGTTTTTTGATCGCATGTCTAATTCTTATTGTAAAAAATTTTAAAAATTACAGATGAATATTAAAAAATGCAAATCACCAGATTCTTCAGAAGCTCTGTATGGAATTGTAACTACAGGAGTTGAATGGCTGTTTGTTTTATTTTCGGTGTGTTTAGACAAAATTAACATTGCTGCTACCTCAAGATCAATCCTAAGGCTCAATGTTGACATGGAGAATGTTAATCTTGATGAACTTAGTGATCAAGTGGTCAAAATATATACAATGATAAAATCATTGCTGACTGATCAAGTTAGAATCAATGATAAAATTGAGGAAAATATGTTAAGTCCAGACGAAAAAAGAGAAATATTTTGCAAAAAGATAAAATTGCAATGAAAAATGAAAATTTTTTTTATCTTCTAATTGCAATCCTCATTTGGTTGGTTACGTTATTCCAGGTAATGATGAAAATGCTAAGTCAATTTCTTTTTTTGCTAATCTGGTATCATTCCTTTTATGACATTCATTCTTTCTATAAAATTAATATTCTCAAATTTGTATGTTTATTTTCAATGAATATTCTTAAATTAACAAATGTTACATGTGCATGATATTTGTATGTAAACAATGAATACTATATTAAACAACACTTAATGAATACTTATAATCTCACCTTATGTTTGAACATTATATTTTGTTTTCTATTCTAAATTTAATTGAGTTTTCTTGTCTTTCTATTACGCCCAAATTAAAGAGACACCTATACAGCAGGCTTTGGTCTTTTATTTGCATTAAAATTTTTGTGTACAAAAGGTCATTTATTTACGGGATGCTAGAAAAGCAGGTTAACATAGTAAATTTGCTAAAATTGTGCAACTTTGAGACTTAATCCCTCCATTACATCATGACATATCAACAAAATGATGTGACTTTGTAGAGAAAGGTCTTAGCTTCAAAATCACATCTTGTTTTTTGGTCATGTGCACTGTATAATTAACGGGATTAATGAGATACTATATAGTTATTTAATGAATTTTTTTTTCTTTACACAAACAATCATTATTGATGTTTTTGACGCAGACCATCTACACCCAATAAGCCAATTATTCAACCGAAACTAAAACAATTATACTCTCAATTTGCGTTCACAAAAAGAGTAAAGATTGCTTGTGACAAAGAGAAAGAAAACCAGTATCAGAGTGACAATAATGGAAATAAAGTCCTGGCCGAGTTGAAAAATATAAAGAATCATGATGACCATAATGATCAAAATCAAGTTGTCGCTGTAGATTGGCATGAATAGCTGGAAAACATTCTGAAAGTAAATGACTATCTTTGAGAAATAATTACTAAACATTTGCTTATATATTGGACCTTTTTTCCTATTGTTTTTATAGTTTTCGATAGAGGAAATCAGGATACAGATTTTAAGCCCATATATTGCAAAAAACGAATTTGAAAACACTATGATTAAATATATCGGAAAGGTGTTGATGGACTTGTAAGTTAATTTTTAATAATAGTATTTATAATGTTATTCTAATTCATGTGTCATACTAATAATCAATTTATTATTAGCATCCACAAAATAATTGATGTGTCCAGCTATATTATGCATATTGATACTGTTGAAAGAGATTGGATTGTTAACAAAATATCTCCATTGTTTATTTATCTCAAGGCAACATTATTAATAAAATACAACTTCACTGGTAATTGGTATTTTTTAAGATTTTTTTTGTAACTTATAAATGTAATTACTTATGCACTCAAACATATAGGATTGAATAGATATTGAACCTACACATCAACATCTTGTTATTGAAGACAATACATCAAACAAAGACCAATAAAAGCTGATATAGTTGGTGTCCGATTGTCAGATAATCATCAGGTTATATTTTTAGAAATGAGTGGAGCTCCTACTGATTTTTTAAAAAATCATCCAATCAGTGATGCAAATAAAACACTCCAGGAACGAATGGACTCCTTAAATTCTGTTCTCTTAAATTTCCTTTGCTATGATGTTAGGTTTGTATGGAAAGTTCATTCTTTAAGTATTCAAGGAATAAGTGAGTATTATTTTTTGATTGCTGCTTAAATTAAAAGTAGATCACCATTCATATCTTTTTGTTTATTATGTGGTAAGGGGATCGCCACACATTAAGGTGATTATCCTTAAGAGGGAAAGATGACTATGTTGATGAAGAAATATTATCAGCAGTTTTTCCACTTAGCTGGGATTTCCACTTCCGATTTCATGAAATATTTAACATGATGGAATACATAATACTATCTGTCATGGAATATTCCAATGTCATAAAAGAGTTGATAAAGCACCCAGCAGATTCACAAGAATTTTCTATTCGATACTGTATCACTTATAAATAGATAACTTGGTACAACAGTTATTCATTAACAACTTTGGAATATTAGAAATTTTATTATAAAAAAAAAAATAAACTGAGAATCTTTTCTCTTATTACATTTATCCTAATTGCAAAATTGGTAACCTCCTCAATCACTGACTCAAGTAGAATAATAATATATTTATTTAATAATTTTTAAATTTTGATCGTGACTCAGGGTATAGGAAGCATCTATTAACGTAAATGATTTCCCGCTCAAAGGAATTTACAAGAGTATTTAAAGTTTACTTGGTAAGATCCAATTCTTGGATATGGGTTTTCGTAATACTTGAGTTGATCCCATGCTAAAATTGAGATCGCCTCTATGAAAGAATTTATATTTTTCGTAGCTAATCGCAAAACCACATATATTTTATTACATAAGTAAAAAATAACTATTTATTAACCATCTACAGTCCACACTCTCTATAATGAACCTCTCTATAACGAGCACTAAGTAAAATCTCTCTATAACGAACTTCACTTTTGTCCCTGATTCAATGTTTTATAATTAATTTCTCTCTCTATAACGAACATCTTAATAAACTCCCCCTATACGAACAAAAGCAGAAAAATTACATATAGGGGCGAAGGGTTCATTATAGAGAGAGTGGACTGTAGTTGCTATTAAAAAAAGTGTATTTTTTAAAAAAAAATAGCGCCAGTCACAATGCAATCATTGCAACTCAATCTTTACTGAATTTTTGGAATTGTGATGTTAAACAAATTATTAATCCCTGAAATTCTTGGTAATACCAATGTTCACTTTGTCTGGTTTTGTTGCAGTATTCCCCATATCATGTTTTAAAAGAATATATATATATATATATACCCTCCATTTCGAGCATTTTGTATTGCATCTAAATGTTTTTTCAAGATTTTTCGAGCATAAATATTGTTTGAAAAGGTGGAATTGAAACAGAATGATTGATCAAACAATGTTTGTTGAAAAACTTTGCATGATTTTTTTTAAAAATATTGAAAGGAACTCTTTTGATCCATTGTCATAAACTGCAGTCACTTCAGTTGTCATGAAATTACAAATAAAGTAACATATGACACAAAATACATGAAAGTTATTAGGATATACACACTCAATGACATAATAATATGATGCATACTGCAACAAAACCAGACAAAGTGAACATTGGTGTTACCAAAGATTTCAAAATTTGTCCTTATCCATAAATCTATTCCCTAAATTCAACCAATTTTCTTTAATATCATTCCATCTTGCTAATGAGCATAAACATGAACATTACATGAATCATATTTAACATTTCGAATGTGATTTACAGTATAGTTGTTCCCCATAATTGTTTTTTTATTTCCATAATATTATCATGATTTGTAATAGTAACAGTAATGTTTTCATAATGCCGTAATTCTTCCATAATACCGTAATTCCTGTAATTCTGATTGGTAGATTACCAATAAAATTTTGTAAAAAAGTCATATTTCCTTATTGATTTTGTGCCTTTTTTTTAAAAGAAACCCCCAAAAAACTGAAGAAATGTGTATAACAAACCATAATAAACCATTAATCAGTCCAGAGGGTTGAGTTATCTTGGTAATCTGAGTATTAAAAAGATGGACAATGGAAGTATAGGTTTGAATTTATAAATTTTATTAATTAATTTATTTAGCATTACATTAAATTTCAACATAATAATATTAATAGCAATAATAATATTGAATATGACAATAATAACAGCAATGATAATTTTTGAATACCACCAATTAAAAATTTTAGATAAGGCATTAGATGTTCTGATAGAGGTTGTAAAAAAAGTTCCATCATCAAAGTTGCTGTTATCATTGTCATTATATATAATTTTTTTGATTGGTTTGGTCATGTGAATCTACCAATCTTTCCTTTAAGGAAAGATCACTGGTGGCCAAATTTCATTTTTAATAGTAAAATCGTGCAACTTCAAACCACTAAGGCTTTTTTTTTATTAATAATATTGAAAAAAGCTCTCTATTACATTGTTCCTTAAGTCCATTAGATTGCAAAAATAGAAAGTTTTTTCCACTTCCAAATATAGTTATTGAGCCTTAACATTTTAAAGATTGCCTATTTTTTTGATGTCTTTGGATGATCTGCACTGTATGGTTAACAAGGAAGGCTGTAAAATAAAATGGGACAATAATTCTTTGGTTCCATAGTAGACCTAATGTAAATTAGCTTCATATTAATTATTTTATATAGGGGATAGTTCTATATATCACTTAACAAATGAGACATTATTATTATAAAACTGTTAATTATATAATCACATTACAAATGACTAAATTTTGATCCCTGAAATCTTTGGTAACACCAATGTTCACTTTGTCTAGTATGCACCATATGACAAACTTTATCCCTTAAACGGTCAAAGTATTCTTTAGTAGTAACACAAAATAATTTTTTGATCACGATCTTGCATTCTTATTGGCCAATTTAACGATCTGCAAAGTAAAAATAGTCAATTGACCAACTTTTAAGGAAGATTTTTCGAAAACCACAAGGACAACAACTGAATTTTTATTCACAGATCAATCAGCTGAATCTCAAAGATCATTTTTGTATTAGGAAGTATTACCTTCAGAAAAAGTTTTTTATAACAGAAAAAAAATTTCAGCTATCAATAGCCGAAAAACCATTTAAGGGATAAGAAATGATTTAGAGCATAAAAGATTTCTAGAAGCCTGAATATCATTAAATATGCTATTTTTTTACAATAAGTTGCTAAATCAGAAGAAATAAATGATATTTTTCTATATGAAGAAATTTATTGACCAGTTGGAAACTTGGATTCAATGAGGCTATACATGCAACCCAAATTGGTTTGGTGATTTCAATGGTCAAAACAATTTTGATGGTAGAAAGTAGAAATTAATTATGGCACTCACTATTAAAAACATAAGTGTAACACCCCTTTACTACATGTGTAACCCCCTTTATGACAGTGTCAATTCAATCAGCAGAATCAGCATGTGCTAACCAAATCTGGAAATGTGATGCAGATAGTTTCTAAATTTAGACTAGTTTTATGTTAAGACACAGTCGAATTTTGAACACTGTATGGGAGGACCTTTTCCAGCAAAAACAGTCTTCAAGGACATCTGACCAAATTTATTTTTTTATAACATAAAGATTATAATTAGCAAAAATATCAGGCCTGTTTGCATAATAAAAAAAATGGGGAATTGTAAGCCAGATACCTTCATATAAAAAATATTGGGAATTGCAAAATATTTTGGCTAACATCTATGTATGAAATTGTATTTCTTGAGATATCAAATTGACACATAATAAAAGCTAATATACTGCTCACATGATAGTAAAATGGAACATCAATTTAGAGAATTATTTTAAACAATAATTGTTTATGAAGTTAAAAGGAAATTTCCACTGAGAAATATATCACTTCAATCAAGTAATGATGCTACAATGGAAGTTGTTTCCCGAACAATCTTAGGAGATGGCACATTTCAATTTTGGGTAGAAATGGCTTCAAAATCGAATATCATTTCTTAATTAGGATAAATTTTGTGATGATCTTGTAAATTATTTTCAAAAATGGTAATAAGGTGGGTATTTTTTCAAATGTACCATCTCATAAGATTAGGGTTCTTAGTCCGGCTCTAAAACTTCTATTATGGTTGAAAATCACTTGCTCTATGAAAAACGGAGAATTTTTTCTTTTTGAAGTGGACAGCATAGTGGAAATTTGAAATGTTACATATATATATATATATAGTGCAATGTAACTTTACAAACATTCTGGCAATAAAAAATAAGTGATAAAATGGATTTGAATTGGATCTGAACTTGATTTCCAATTTAGAGAGGTAACTACTATATACTGGTGAAGAATGGGGGTTCTATATAACATTTCGTGTAACAACAAACTTCCACTATGCTGAAGTGGGCGATAAATAAATTTATTTGTGTAACGTTTATATTACATTCGATCTGCAATGTCCCACGACTATTAACTAATTTATACTTCAACCACGAGTTAAAATGTCAACTTCTAAGAATAAAAGTTCAAAGTATATAGTGGATAGTGACGAGGAAGCAGGGTTTAAAAAAAAAAAACCAATTAAACAAGTATAACCAGCCTTTTTAACAAAATTATAATAAAAATAATTCGAATTATGAATTCTAATAGTAAAAAAACTTTTAACAAGGGTAAAACAAATATTAAAAAAAGATCACACAAAGTAAAAGAAGAAGAAGAAGAAGAAGAAGAACAATATTCCGAAGAAGAACCTCAACCAACAAAGGTAAGAAGAAGATATTATTTATATATTCTTATTAAATTAAAAATTTATCTGTTTTCTATGGACAAAGAAAATTAAGGAAGATCATGGTAAAAACGAGCAAGGAGAATCTTATTTCAAGGTATATATTATTTATATATTTATGTGTTTCATGTTAGTTCTTAGTTTTTTCATTTACTTTTCAAAAAAAAATTTCTTTTGTTAGTTATCGGAAAAGAAAAGAGTTACGGTTAGAGAGTGGAAAAATATGGTTTTGATAGATATTCGAGAGTTTTTTGAAGTTGATGGAGGAACACCTATGCCAACTAAAAAAGGTATTTTTAATTTAATAATTAAAACAGTAATATTAGTATAAATGTATTTATAAAATATATATACATATTATAAGGTATTTCATTACAATTGGATCAGTGGGATAAGTTGAAATCATTAGTTGATGATATTGATGAGGAAATAAAAAATTTAAAATAAATTTAGAGACTTTTTTTTTTGAAAAATATATTATTTGGTGTTAGTATTACTAAATATTTTTTTGAATTATTTGATTAATAAAAAATTGATATTATAAATCATAATTGTTATTGTTAATATTAAGATGTCAATAAATTTATTTGTAAAATAAAATTACAAAATTTATTAATAATTAAAAGATTGTTCATATTTATATAACATTATTTGATTTATACTATAAATAATTGTGTCATAAAAGTAAACCTCTTAACTGTCTTGCATATACCATTGGTTTAACATTTGGATGTGGCTATATACAAAATATAAATATATGAATGATGGGAAATGAATATATTATATATATGTGATATATGAGATTTAAACTTACCACAGCAGTGAATGTCTTGTGATTTAACTTCTAGTCTGGTGTGATGACAATAAATGATCCTTTATTTCCCATCATATCACTTTTGATTGATAAAAAATTAAAAAATCAAATGAATGTATGAATGAATGAATGAATGATACATAAAACCATACAATCAGATTTACTTTTCAGTAATTAGGTGCTGAAAAAACAGTTATGCATTTACCATTATGTTCTATAACATAACCATTTTCTTTAACTTCATGACTTCTTATTAAATGATCTAAATAACATAATAATCAAATAAATATATAATAGTAATAATTGTTATTATCAAATAATTTAATATCAAAAAAAATCTTCAATGGCTTACCAAGATTATTTCTTTTCAAGAAATTCTTGGTAACATCTGGTCCAAATTGTACACCTAATCTTCTTTTACTTGGACTTCTTCCTGGTAATATTTGTGAATCTTTTTGTCAAAAAAAAAAAGAATTTTGATAAATAAAACTTGAAATAACCATAAATTGCATTTTTAATGTTTGTTTCTACCTGACCACAAATTTCACACGTCAAACTTTCATTATTTATTTGTTGACTGTTAAATCTGTTAACTTTTCTTATCTCATCTAATGTGACGTCATCATGACCAACAATCCACTGTGTAGTAAAAGTTTCTACAAAAAGTTCAAACATTTCTTTAGAATATTTGACATTCACCTCTCCCTCAAATCCATACACTTTATTCATATCATCAGTTTCATGGTTCCCTCTTGTTAAATGCAACGGATTTGGGTAAAGCCATTGAAAGCAAACAATGTCAATATCACCTCTAAACTAAAATGATCCATGATTAACAAAACCACCATTGAAAAGATACATGTTATTTGTAGATGGTAGACCATTAAGATCAAAGATATTTAATAGATCATAAAATTGTCCTGTTATATAAATTTTTTTAAAAAGAGAGAAAAACATCAATCAATAAATCAAAATATATTAATACATAATGTATTATCATAAATATCATACCATGAATATCTCCACAAACTGTGATTTTAGAATCTTTTGGAATATCGATGTCTACTAATGATGAGACTTTTGACATCAAATTTCTTACTGATAAAATAATCTATTGATTAAAGTGATTGATTAATGAAATATTTAATTCATTAATAGAGGTTATAGAAATAATGATACCTTATATGCATATTTTTGATGAATTTTCTTTGATCTTTGAAATAATCTAACATTTCTTTGACAAATTCTAATGTGATTTTATCATTTTGTAATTTAGGTCCATCATATGATGATTCTACAAGTGTCATTGCAAATCAAAATTATCGGATATATAATGATTAGATAATGACTTCATGTTCAAATAAATATTTATACACAAAAACTAAATATTACTGATTGAGTCCAAATCCAATGAATCTAGTATAGACTTATGATCTACCTGTAGAATTAAAATAAAAAAAAAACCTGAATTAATTTAATCAAAAAATTTTAAAATTAATTACTTAAATAATTAAATCCAAAATACCAAAATAGCTTTTCAAATTTCATTTTTTTTTTTACAATTTTTTCACATTTTTTTAAACCAGCTTCTGCATTTGTATTACTTGGAATCTTTTATTAACCTATCAAAATATTTTTATACAATGATGAATTTTTAATATCATTTCAAAATGAAAAAAATTGCATGATATTCCACTAACTATTCAAAAATCTCAAAGGGCATTTCTAATCTACAAAGTTCCATGTTTGCTACTGCTCTTCTATAGTGCTCCTATACCAACAAAGAAGAATAAAAAATAAAAAATGAATATTAACATAATACTGTAATATTTTAAATATTTCTTTTATAATGCCTATATTATAAATACCTTTGTATATGTTGGATCAATTTTTATTGCTAATTCTGCATCTGAAATTGCATATTTGTATGCTTCAGTTTTGATATAAGAAAAAGATCAATTTGCATAATAAGCCACAACATTGGGGTTTAAATCAATGGCCTCTGTATATTTAGTTATTGCAGCTTCATATTTTTTTTTCTGATATTAAATTTAATCAATTTACTTGTCAATATTTATATGTAATTCTTATCAAACAAGCAAAAATTCTTGTATATATAAATATAATATAACCTTGAAATATTTTATTTACAGCTTCTTGCTTTAGTTTTTTTTCTTCTGAAATAACAATGATTTCAATTCCATCTTTTATTTTACTATCACTATCATTCATATTTACCTATACTTTTTAATTGATAGATGGCATTTACTTCAGTTCGGGAAAATTTTTTAATGTTTAACCTTTTATAGAGAGGCTCTACTTATTATAATTGGTATGGTAATGATCTTCAAAGTGTATTTCAATAAGTTGAGCATTTTTATTAATTGATGATATAGGCATGCATTTACAATGAGTTGAAAATAGGGTTGGGTTGTTGTATATTGAGTTGTATATCATGTGGTCCAGGATATAACACATTCATTCTCCAACTGAATTTTTTATATAAAAAAAATTTTTGTTCTTAGATATGTTCCAGTACGCATGTCACGCGCATCGTGCGCACGTAATTTTTGGAATCATGCACATGTACATAGTAATAAAATGTAACACAAAAAAAATTTTTTTTAAACAGGAAGAAGATGAAATTATCATGAAGTTTGCATGTGATAAAAATTTATTTTTTATTTTTTTTAAAAAGTTATATTAATGAATTAAATATCTATTTCTGTCAAGATTGAGT